GGAGTGGCCCCTGCCTGCACACACTGTGGGATGGAAGACACCAAGTTAGAGAAGACGTAGATGATGGCAGCTCTACAGCCGCCCTCCCCAACCACATTCCTAAGCCCTGGCTGGTCTTTCTGTATTCTGGAGAGGCCATTGACAAGCTCTCACTGTCTCCACATCACGGGCTTGAGCCTGCTGGCCTGGAACGTGAGAGCCTTCCCCGGCCACCCGATGCTCGGCTGCGTTTGGTTTTTCTCGTGGTGGGGGCGATGATGTGGCTTGTGACAGGTGCCTAGCTGAAAGGCTAGATGCACCTTCTTTTGGTGACTGTGCGTTCACAGGAGAAGCACGGAGACATGTTGATCAGGGTCCGGGAGTGTTTTTATGGGATGTTTTAGTTCTTGTGTGCATGGTTCAGGACGAGAAGGTTCTTCTGATTGATGTGGCTGTACCTAGTATCATGAAGTGTGGCTCAGGCCCCAGGAAACTGAAGTGCGCCTTACTCAGGAGGCACGGAGGCCTATGGGGACATGGGCAGGAGCAAGGCCCTATGCCCTTTCTGTGGGGCCATCACAGTCTCCCAGCCTCTGTTCCCTTCCTGTGCCTCTGCTGCCCTCCTCTCCATCCATGCTATGCAGCTTTCACCTGGCACCTGTCTGTCCTCTGCGAAAGCAGGTCATTCTGAGTTGTAACACGAGAAGCACCCAGGCCGACTGAGACCAGTGCACCAGACCTGCTGGCCCTGATCACCCAGCTGAGCAGCCTTTTCAGCTGAGCCAGGGGCCACCCTCAGCGCCCAGAGCTGACGGAGTGGCTGCTTGGCCACAGACTTGATGCAGGAATCAGGACCTGCCAACATTATCATCTGCCTGGTCCCGCTCCGAACCAAGCCTCCTCTTCTGGGCGAGCTGCAGCCACAGGGACCAGGTGCACCTGCTGTGCCAGCCCACCCTTGGGTCCCAGGCAGGAAAGGGAGACGTGTGGTGTCACCCTGCAGTCGGCACCAGCGTGGGCTGATGGGATAGAGGAGGCCACTGGTGCCAAGGTCACCAACCTGGAGCCCACGCTGTGTTCAGCTGCCGTCAGAGTCAGCTCAAAGGGCAATTCCTCCACTCTCCGCGGTCCTGGCTCAGCCCATGGGCTGCTTCTGGGGCTTGGAAACAGCCCCTCCCTAAGCTGGGCCTGGCGCCACCCAGAGAAGGGCTGCAACAACCTTGGGCAACACGCGTGCCTGTTACCTGCCTGCCCCTCCACCGTCACCAAGACAGTCCTCCCTCAAGCTCTGTGTGCTGTGGACCTGGGCAGGGGGGAAGGACCTGAAGACCACAAGGCCATGGGGTAGGTATGAGACTGCAGGTCCACAGGCGGCCTGGGACACAGGTTGAAGAGGGGCAGGAAGGCCCCTTCCTCTGTCAGGGACCGCCCCCAGAGCCCCCACCAGGCTGCACAGGTACCCCGAGGCCCTTCCAGGATCCCCTATGGCCCCAAGCTGATGCTCTCTAGGCACCATTGGCAGGACAGGTGGCCACTCTGCCAGAGCCCAGGTCTCAACGCAGATGACGCTGTACCCCGCCCCTCCTGGCCCATGCCTCCTCCCAGACCCCCATCTTCTCTTCCTCCCACCTTCTCGGCCCCTACGCCACCCCTTCCAGCAGTAACAGGAAACACTGCAGGCCACAGAGAGAGGGTACACAGCGATATCTGAAGTCGTAAAGCGAGGGGGAAGTGAATCGGGAAGTGAATCACTCGTCGCACTGGGCTGCTGCTGGGAAGCACCTGGGAGGGAGGGAGAGCAGCGCACCCAAAAATAGCTTCCTGGGAAGTCCCGCCCCTTACAGCCTGGCTGGGGATCATTGGGCAGGGGCTGTGTGCCGCTTTGTATGTCTCCTTCCCCATAAAAGCGGTAGGGGTAGTCTTGGTGAGTCATAGATTAACCCAGGATTTTCTTTAATTTGAAGCTTAATTGTGACGCTAGCTATTCGCCACTTAGATTACTGTGTCCCCAAGGCAGCATTACTATTTACAAGCCCCATGCTAAAGCCTTGCCGTGGAGGCAGAGCCCTGGAGGACCGTAGGCCCCTAGCCAGCTCTGCACCTTCCCTGAAGTTCATTCCATCCTTCAGGTTTGAACCCCTGCTGAGAATTTGCATTTCTGACAAGTTCCCAGGTGATACTAATGCTGCTGGTTGAGGCTCAGTTCTGAGAACCACTAGTAGAGTAGGGGTTCTCAACTTTTATCATACATAAGAATCACCTGGGGATCTTGTTAAAATGTAGATTCTGATTCAGTTTATCTAGGGTGGAATGAACCGGTTCAAAGCCCTGCCTGAAGCACAGCCTGGCAGCTTAGGTGCTCTTTCTGCACGCCCTCACCTACCTGGCAGC